TGTGTGTTAATCAGCGTCAGGTTGTTGTAACGAATATCTGAGCTCCTCAACTTATAGAGAAATGGCTCATTGAGGCTTACAGTTTTGGAGGCTTCAGTCCTTGAACAGTTGGCTGCATTGCTCTCAGGCCTGTGGTGAGGCAGCACATCACCAGCACTTGGCAGAGAAAAGACATTAAAAAAAAAAAAAAGAGGAATGGGCTGGGGTCCCCGTATGGTGTTCTAGGGCACACCCCAAAGACCTAACTTTCTCCCGCTAGGCCACACCTCCTAAGTTCCTCAGCCTCCCAACAGCATCACTCTGGGGAAGAAGCCCTTAAGACACGGGCCGTTGGGCGGACATTCCAGGTCCACACAACCCATGGGAATGCCCTGGAGGATGAACAAGGTGGGGTTCTGCCCCCAGCCAGGACGTTCCCTTGGGGAAACTGGCTCTGGGGACTACAGAGTCAGGTGGGTCACTCTGGAGTCCCCCTGGTCCCCACTTATCCATTTTATCCCCTGCCTCCGAGATCGGGGGAGCCGGCCAGGTTCTGCTGCCTCTTGCTGCTCACCAGTCCAGGGGCTCCTCGCCTGCGGGCCTCCCGCCCTCTCCCGTCCAGGCCTCTGCCTCCCCCCGCAGCGCGGGCTGGCAGGGCGCCTCTCCTGGCTCCCCAGTCTCCTTCTTCGGTGTCAGCCGCGCACTGCGGACGGTAGGCTGGCGCTGCCCTCCCCGGGGGAGCTCAGGTGGAAGGCCATCAGAGTGTCAGGCTGGAAAACCAAGCTGCCCTTGCAGGAGTTGTAGAATTCCGGCAGCGAGGAGCAGAGAAGGCAAGGCGGCCGGGGGGCCAGGTGCGGGCGTTCCGGAGGCCCTGGAACCCGTCGAGGGCTGACTCACGGTGGGTAGTGAGCCAGGGCGGTGGGAGGGGTGTGTGAGAACAGAGAATCAGCAAAATTGTGTTTATACCTTAAGCAGATACTCAGGAGCCCTCTGCTTCCCATCTGCACATCCGTCCAGGCCTGAATGAGCCCACTCCCTGGGTGACATAGGGTGTGTGTGTGTGCGCGCGTGTGTGCGCACGTGGGGGCTGTGTGTGGTAGTGTGGAGAGCTGTGTCGTGTTGGATGGGGTAATGCAGTACGTGTGTGTCTGTGTATGAGGTTCACATAGTGGGGGTGGATGTGCAGTGGGGGCAGGGTGGCATGTAATTGTGGAGTGTGTGTAACACGTGTGATGTGTGTGTGGGGTGTATGGTGTGTGTATGTGTTTGTAGTATGGGATGCACATGGCGTGTGCCTGTATGTGTGTAGGGTGTGTGTATGTGTGTGGGGGGGGTGTGTGTGTGTGTAAGGCATGTGAACGGTGTGTGTGAAGAACATTCCACAGTACTCTAGTTGGCATAAGATATTCACCTTCTGCCTGCACTCTGGGTGCTTAGCTCAGCTCCACCTCCTCCTTCCATTCAGTCTCTCTGCATGTATTTATTGGATCTCTCTGCCCCAGAGCAAAGATGTCTTTAGGCAAAACTTTATTACTTTTTTTTTTCCTTTGATAGTTCTGGGGATGAGACCAGGACCAGCATGCTAGGCAAGCACTCAACCACAGGCAAGCGTCCACCCACTGAGCCACATCCCAGTCCCAAAGAGAGTTGATAGGAGTCATGGGGGAACCTGATATCAGCGTAGAATTTGAGGCACGTCTCCCAGACCCCAAAGTCGTGGTAGGGATGAAGGCCAGAGATAAATGAGGAATGTTTGAAAAATTGTGTTAAAACATATATCACATAAAATCTGCCACTTAACCATTTTCATATGTAGCACTGAGGTACATGCGTAGTGCTGTGCTACCATCACCAACATCCATCTCCAGAACTTTCTTCATCTTTCCAAACTGAAGCTCCTCACGTCTTAAATAATAACGTCCCATTGTCTCCTATCCCCAGCCATTTCTGTCTCTGTAAATTTGACTACTCTAAATGTCCTATATAATTACAATCATATAGTATTTGTCCTTTCATGACTGGCTTCTTTCACTTAGCGTAATGTCCTCCAGGTTCATTGATGGTGTATGTGTCAGAATTTCTGTCTCTTCAAAAGATGAATAATACTTTATTTTATGTAAAACACTCTGTTGGTCAGCTTTCCAAAATCTGAACAAAACTATAACAAAATGCCTGAGATAAATAACTTATGAAGAGAAAAGTTTTGCTTTGGTGCATGGTTTTGGAGATTCCACACCATGATTGACTAGCCCCATTATTCTGGGCCTGTGGTGAGGCAGTAGTACATCATGGCAGGAGCATGTGGCAGAGCAAAACCACTCAGGAGCCAGGGAGCAAAAGAGAAAAGTAAAACAAACAGATCCCACAGTCTCCTTCAAGGGCACACACCCAATGACCTAAGTGTCTTCTAAAGGTTCCACAGCCTCCCCATAGCACCACCCTGGGGACCAAGTCTTTAGCACACGGAGCTGTGAGGGACATTCAGAATCCCAAATAGAGCACACATTGTGTTAATTCATATCCATAGCTGGACACTCAGGTTGCACCCCCCTCTTGACTATAGTGAATAATGCAGCTATGAACATGCGTGTGCAAATACCTGTTCAAGTCCCTGCTTTCAGAAGTGGAATTGCTGGATTGGATGGTAATTCTGTTTCTAGTTTTTGAGAAATTACCATGGTGTTTCCCACAGCAGCTGTGTCATCTCACATTCCCGCCAGCGATGCACAAGATTTCCAATTTCTCCACAGCCTCCCAGCCTCCCCAACACTTGTTCTTTTCTTTTTTATAATAGCAATTCTAGTGGGTGTGAAGTTGTATCCCATTGTGGTTTTGATTTTTCTTTTATTGCAGTTGTGGGGAGGATTGAACCCAGGCTTCCCTGCATGCTAGGCAAATGCTCTTCTATTAAGCTACTTCCCCAATCCTATTTATTTATTTATTGACAGGTTCTTACTAAGTTGCCCAGGCTGGACTCAAACTGTGATCCACACATTGCAGTGTGTGCCACTGCACCTGGCTTAGGACTTTGATTTGATTAGTGAAATCACTATGAAATGTCTTCTCATAGGTTAGTTGGCCATGTGTACGTCTTCTCTGGAGAAATATCAACTTAGGTCTTTTGCCCATTTTTAAAAATTGGATTGGTTTAGTTGTTGTTATTGAGTTTTAAGTGTTCTTTATATAGCCTGGCTATGAATCCCTTACTGGATATATGATTTGCAAACATTTCTCCCATTCCACAGGTTGCCTTTTCACTCTGTTGATATCCTCGGAATCTAAGAAAGCATTAAGAAATCCAATTCATGAAGCTTTCCCCTTTGTCTGTTCTAAGAGTTTCATAGTTTTAGCTCTTCTGTTTGGCCTTCATCCTTTTTGCTTGTGGATATTCTGTTTTCCCAGCACCACTTGTTGAAAAGTCTTCCTTTCTACCACTAGAGAATCTTAGGTCCTTGTCAAAAACCACTTGACCACATATGCAAGGGTTTATTTCTGGGCTTTTGATTCTATTCTGTTGGTCTATATGTCTGTCTTCATACCAGTGACACACTGTTTAGATTATCGTAGCTTTGTGGCAAGTTTTGGAATCAGGAAATATGAGACCTCCAACTTTGTTCTTTTTTTGATTTTTTTTTTCAGCTATTCAGGGTCTTTTGAGATTCCGTAAGAATTTTAGGATTTTTTTTCAATACCTCCAAAAAAAAAGCCATTGGGATCTTGATAGGGATTCCATTCGAATTTGTGGATTGCTTTGGGTAGTACTGACACCTGCGTTAGTCAGCTTGCCATTATTGTGACAAAATATCTAAGAAAAATGAATTCATAAGGAAGAAAGGTTTATTTTGGATCATGGTTTCAGAGATTTCAGTCCATATTCTTTGTCTCCACTGCTTCTGGGCCTCTGGGAGCGTGTGAAAAGCTGTTTACTTCACGGTGGCTGGGATGCAAGAGAGAGGAAGGGCCAGAGTGCCAATATCCCCTTCCAGGGCACTCTCAATGACTTAATTTCTTTCCACTAGACTCCATCTTTTTTCTTTCTTTTATGTTCACAAATACTAACATGTTAAAGACCTTATTGTGACTCCTGGTTTTCCTACTTTCTAACATGCTTGGAAATTCTTTCATATCTTGGAAATTGCTTCTCATTCTTATTAATAGCTGTATAGTACTCCATTGGACATTTGTACCATACTGTGTGTGGTGGACATCTAGGCTGTGCCCAAATTCTGCTATTTAAAACAGGTTAGGATTTTTCTTGAAGGACCTTTCAGCACAACAGCTCGCACTGAGGAACACTGTGAGAATTGGTTGCTATATGCTATTCTTGTCCGCTGCTCGCAGGGTCATCTTCGGGTGGACCTACCAGCTCCTGTGAAGTTCTGCGTTTTGCCACTTCCCAGGCTCTGCAGTTCCGGTACTTCATCGTTCACTCTTTGCTTTGACCCCGAGCGCTCTCAGAGCCGAGGACGTGGACCATGTTAGCGACTGTACTGTACATTGTATATTTATGAATGCTAATCTTATTCTTGGTTTCATTACTTTCCTTTTCTTATTTTCTTTCCTCTTTGATTTCCAAAGCTATTTGTTTTATTTCTTGACACTGCATATATTTTTGTAAGCCATCTCAGGTTTTGTGAGACAAAGTGGGTGTAAATAAACACACACATACATGAATATGTCCATCCATGAATAAACAAAATATGAATTTATATCCTGCACCTCCTCTCCCTGCACTGTCCAGAGGTACTGACCTTCCCCTCCCTTGAGCTTCTGCAGGATCCTTAGCTGCCCCTCCAGCCCGCCCCTGTGGCCCAGCAGCCTCACTTTCTGGTTACTCTTGAAGATATTCCAGTCCATTATAATGCTTCCAGCTCCCCTGCAAGCCCCAGACAAGGGCTGAGGAGAGACTGACCCGGACTCCCACACACTATAAAATCTTAATCCAAAGCAGGAATGAAGGGGTGGGAAGGTGGCCATGCCAAAGGGGTACTGGGGTGCTCTCAGGGACAGGAAAGGAAAACAACTCCTGGTGGCTTTGCCCCTCCCTGCGTCACAGGTCCAGCTCTGGTGTCCTGCTGCTGCAGATGCTCCTGCCCTCGCACTGTCATTCAGCTGAGTGCCCTAGTCACCTCATCCCACCCACCATCATTCTTTTGCCTTGATGTGAGAAAGCGATTTGCATCCAACCAGAAGGATTAAGTAAGCTCGATGGAGGTAGCCTGCTTTCTCTTCTCACAAACCTCTTTTGTCTCGCAGAGGCTGCTGTGCAGAAGGCAGGTGGAGAGCTTTTGTTTCAAAGTGGCCCCTGCAAACTGAGGTTTCAAATTTGTGATTCTTCTGCCTCAGATGGGGGAACGGCGGGGGATGCTGCAGTCTAAGGACCAGACACACTTGAACCCTGCCCAGCTCCTCTGGGTGCCTGCTGAAAGTCAGATGGAGAGGTCAGCTCTGTTTGCAGTCCCTGGTGTGGGCGGGGCAATGTCTGAGGAGTGTTGTTGGAAAAGGGATTCAGGATGCACAGACATCCAGAGGCTGCTCTGTACCAGGGCTTCTCCCCAGGAAAGAAGGCTTTGGGAGAGCAAAGGAGCAGAGTGCCAGGTGCGTTCCAGAGCTGTGAGACCTTTCCAGTCCTTAGTGTCTTCTCCTGCAAGGTGGGCATTTAATACTCCTGGGCTCACAGGGTCCTCCAGGGGATCAAATATTAACAGCTTGCGTGTTCATAGCTGCTATTGTGCACCAGTCGTTGCTCTAAATGCTTTACATACAATAACTCATTTACTCCTCTTGCCACCCTTAAGTATCATTATCCCCATTTTTCAGAGAAGAAGACTAGGGCTCAGAGTGTAAGTAATTTGCTCAAGTTCACAGTGAGTGACAGAGTTGGGATTTGAATCTAAGAAGTCTGGTTGCAGAATCTCTGCCCTGAAGCACTGTGGCCTGTCTGCAAAGAGCCTCCCTCCTGCAGAGTCCGATGATGTCAGAAAGGCATGCTTTCAAAGGGAAAGATGTGGCTGCTGGTATCTGAGCCACTGATTCTGGCTGAACCTGGGAGGTGGGCTCTGTGGAAGGCTGATTCTCTGGAACCCCTGCTTCCCTCCACTCTCCTCCTCCTCTCTCTTCCCCAGCCAGCCAGGGTCAGTCCTGGTGCAAACCTCCATCCATGCACTGAGCTCCTTGGGCTTGGGATACATGTCCCACTTACAGCTTTGACTCCCTTGACTACAAGCAAATGCTCCTTCTTTCCATATCCCAGCCCTTAGCATAGTTCTTTTTTTTTTTTTTAATATTTTTTTAGTTGTTGATAGACCTTTATTTTATTTATTTATATCCAGTGCTGAGAATGGAAACCAGTGCCTCACACATGCCAGGCAAGTGCGTTACCGCTGAGCCACAGCACAGCCCCCCAGCTTAGCATATAGTTCTTTTTTGTGTGTGGTGCTGGGCATTGAACCCAGGGCCCTGTGCATGCAAGGCAAGCACTCTACCAACTGAGCTACATCTCATCAGTGCTTTTTTTTTTCTTCTTGTGGTGCTGGGGATGGGACTCAGTGCCTCATGCATGACAGGCAATCACTCTACCACTGAGCCATACCCCCAGCCTTGATAAGTGGTGAATATCCCCAGCCCTAGCATATAGTTCTTGATGTATAATAGGTGTTTACTTAAAAATTGCTTCCTCTGGGCAGGTGTGGCTCAGTAATAGAGCATTTTTCTAGCAAGCATGAGGTTCTAGGTTCCATCCTCAGCATGGCAAAGAAAAAAGGAAAGAAAACAAACAAACAAACAAAAAACCTCTTCAGCAGTTGGAGCCATGAAAGTCTCTCTACCTAGAAACAATGAGACAATCCTGGGTAATCCTGTCTTCCGTCTTCCTGCTGTGGCCTGGGCCAGAGACATCCCTGTTGTTTTCTGTTTTCATGACTCAAGCAGCCTGCAGGGATTACCTTCTGAGGTTACTTAGAGTTAGTTGATCTTCGACCATGGTGTTAAGAACACATGAGAAAACTAGACATCCACATGCAGAATAATATGGAACCCTTACCTCACACTATATACAAAAATCACCTCAAAATAGATTAAAGACTTTAACATAAGACCGAAACAGTTAAACTACCAGTAGAGAATGTGGTGCAAAGTCTTTTTTTTTTTTTTGGAAGTAGGGATTGAAGCCAGGGCCTCTCACATGATAAGCAGATCCTCCATCGCTGAGCTACAACCCCAGTCCTCCTTCCTGTTTTAAAATTTTGAGACAGGTTCTCACTAAGTAGCTTAGCGTGTTGTTAAATTGCCCAGGCTGCCCTGGAACTTGCAATCCTCCTGCTTTCTCCGGTTACTGGGATTCTAGACATGCGCCATCATGCCTGGCTGGTGAGAAGTCCTTTTGCTCTGGGCAGTGATATTTTGGATGTGACCCCCAAAGCTCAAGCAAATTGACAAATGGGATTGTTTCAAGTCAAAAATCTTCTGCACAGCAGAGGGAACAATCAAGAGAGCAAAGGGACAAACTAAGGAATAGGAAGGACCAAATCATACATCTCATCAGTGCTTTTTTTTTTTTTTTCTTGTGATGCTGGGGATGGGACTCAGTGCCTCGTGCATGACAGGCAAGCACTCTACCACTGAGCCATACCCCCGGCCCTGATAAGTGTTAATATCCTTAATATATAGAGAACCCAAAAGCAACAGCAAAAAAAAAAATTAAGTACCCTGCTTTAAAGATGGGCAAAGGACCTAAATAGACATTTCTAAAATGAAGACATGCAAATGGCTAATCGGAATATGAAAAAAAATGCTCACTATCACTAATCCTCAGGGAAATGCAAACCCAAACCACAGTGAGCTATTATTATTTACACCTGTTAGAATGACTGTCCTCAAAAAGCCAAAAGATAACAAGCGTTGGCAAATATGTGGAGAAAAGGGAATCCTGTACAGTGTTGGTGGGAATATAAATGGACACAGCTGTTATGGAAAACAGAACAGCGGTTCATAAAAAAATATAGAAAATAGAACTATCATGATTCAGCAGTTCCATTTCTGGGTATGTACAACATCCAGAGGAAATGAATTTAGTATCTCAGAGATAGCTGCACTCCCATGTTCTTTGCAGCAATATTAAAAATAGCTTCAATATGGAATCAACATAATTGTTGGTGTTTGAATAGATCAAGAAAATGTAATGTGTATATATGTATATGTATATTTGATTCCATCTTTAAAAAGAAGGAAATCCTGTAATTTGCAACACCATGAATAAACTTGAAGGACATGCTGCTGAGGAGAATAAGCCCAGCATGGAAGGAAAAACACTGTATGATTTCACTTATGTGTGGAATCTAAAAAAGTTGACTTTGGACTAGAGATACAGGTCAGCAGCAGAGCACATACCTCATAGGCATGAGGTCCCAGGTCCAATCACCCAACACTGTTTAAAAAAGAAAAAAATAGTGCTGGGGCTACAGTTCAGGGGTAGAGCGCTTGCCTAGTACATGTGAGGCCCTGGGTTCAATCCTCAGCACCACAAAAATAAGTAAAATAAAGGTATTGTGTCCATCTACAACTACAAAAAAAAAATTTAAAGTTAAAAATTTAAAGTGGCTCAGGAGGCTGAGACAAGAGGATCACAAGTTCAAAACCAGCCTCAGCGATGTGCTAAGCAACTCAATGAGGCCCTGTCTCTAAATAAAATATAAATAATGAGGCTGGGGATGTGGCTCAGTGGTTAAGTGTCCCTGAGTTCAATCCCTGGTACCAGAAAAAAAAAAAAAAAAGAAAGAAAGAAAGAAATTTAAAGTTGAGCTCATAGACAGAAAGTAGAGAGTGGAATGGTGGTTGCCAAGGGCTGGAAGCTGTTGACCAAAGGGTCCAACATTTCAGTTATTCAGCATGAATAAATTCTGGATTTCTAACGAACAGCATGGTGGCTTAGGCCATTTGCTGTTGCTGTAAGAGAATACCCAAGACTGGGTAATTTATAAAAGAAAGTTTATTTAGGTCATAATTTACCATTGTGCTACATTGGAACATGGCAGAAAAGCAGAAGGGCAAGCTGGGATGTACAGAGAATAAAAGGGGAGGGGGAGCTGGCTTTCTAACAGCTCACTCCTGCTCTCACTAGTCCAGTTCCAATAGAACTCATCCCACCACCTCTCAACCCTGTTACAACAGGGACCACATCTCAGCATGGGTTTTGGAGGCCACAAGCCATTTTCAAAGCTTGAGCATGTGGTGATTATAGTTAACAGTATTGCATTGTGCACTGAAAATTTGTCAAGAAAGTAGATTGCGTTTATATCACACATAAAAAACAAAACAAAACAGTAACTATGTGAGATGATGAATGTTAACTAGCTTGATTGTGGTAATCATTTCTTTTTCTTTCTTTTTTTTTTTTAATATTTACTTTTTAGTTTTCGGCGGACACAACATCTTTGTTTGTATGTGGTGCTGAGGATCGAACCCGGGCTGCACGCATGCCAGGCGAGCGCACTACCGCTTGAGCCACATCCCCAGCCCCTGTGGTAATCATTTCTAACGTATATGTATGTCAAAACATCATACTCTATGTATATGGTAAATACAAACAATTTTTATTTTTCAATTATATCTCAGTAAAACTAGAATGATACCTTTATAATTTTCATTTTCGTAGTTGTAGATGGTCACAATACCTTTATTTGATTTATTTATGTGGCTCTGAAGCCTGAACCCAGTGCCTCACGTGTGCTAGGCAAGTGCTCTACCATGGCAATCACCATTCCTTCTATTTCCATGAGCCCCAGCCCCAGCCCATCATTTTTTTTTTAATATAAAAGCAAATCATGCTTTTAAAAAAGTTTGATTTGAATTTGAAAATGAAACTCCTCCATAATTCTGTGCTGAACATAGTTCCTGGGCCAGCAGTCTTGTCATCACTTGGGAACCTGGGAATGTAGGCTCTTGGGCCCCATTTGGGCCGTAGAATCAGTCTCTCTTCACTGAAAAAGATCCCACTGGCAGGGCAACTTAACTTTGAAAAGAGCTGGCCATGAATCCATGAATACCCTCCTCTTCCCCAGTTCCAGCTAAGGGACAAGTATCACCTGTTTTTGTTTTTTGTATCAGGGATTGAATCCAGGGGTAATTAACCTCTGAACTACATCCCCAGCATCCCCACCCACCCACCCACCCCCATTCCCCCTGCCTTTTTATTGTAAAACAGGGTCTCACTAAGTTGTTTAAGGCACCACTAAGTTGCTGAGGCTGGCTTTGAACTTGCAATTTACCTGCCTAAGCCTCCTGAGCCTCTATGATTACAGGTGAGCACCCCAGCACCTGGCTTGTCACATGTTTTGTTAGAAGGCTTTTTAATTTATTTTTATTTTCTGATGCTGGGGATTGAACCCAGGGACCCTTTACTGCTGAGCTACATCCCCAGCTGCGTTTCTTTCTTTCTTCCTTCCTTTCTTTTTTTTTTTTTTTACCTTTATTTTACTTTTATGTGGTGCTGAGGATCGAACCCAGTGCTGCACGTGCTAGGCGAGTGCTCTACCGCTGGACCACAACCCCAGCCCTTCCCCTGCCCTTTTTATTTTTTATTTTGACACAGGGTCTTACTGAGTTGCCCAGGCTGGCCTCCTGAGCCAGCAATATTCAAAATAGCTTCAATATGGAATCAATCAGTTTCCTGAGTATCTGGGACTACAGGCATGGGCCTCCCCTCCTGGCACCTGTCTTAACCATTTTCTAAATGGAGAGTTCAGGGGTGTTATGGTGACACTGTTGTGCAGTCCATCTCCAGAACTTCTTCATTGCAAAGCTGTAACCTAAACACTCCCACATCGCTCCCTCCCACCCCCGATCACTGGCAATCACCATTCCTTCTGTCTCCATGAGTTTGAACACCTTGCTTTTTTTAACTTCACAGCATATCTTTCCATATGGGCACATCGGATCTAGCTCATTATTCCTTGAGCTTGGAGTATTCCTCCTTGACTAAAGCTGATATTTAGCCAGTCTTCTATCAGGGATGTGAAGGCTATTTCCAGCTTTTGCTATTGCAAACCAGTTAAACCTCTAGAAGGCTGAGTTCAAAGAGTATGCATTTCTCCATTCTGCCAAATTGTTGCTCAAACAAGTTATCTCAGTTTCCTCTCCCACCCACAGAGGACAAGAGGTCTCCCCCCCGCAAACATCAGATTCTTCCCAATGGAAACCAACAAGTAAATATTGTGCCATCCCAGTGACAAGTGGGACCCAGCTTGAAAGGAGGGGTCGGTGACTCCCTTTGGCGGTGATCTCCCAGGGAGAAGCCTGAGAGGTGAGCTGGTGGCAAGTTGAGGGAATCAAAGCTGCGGTGTATACACAGAGGAAGTCTAATTCAAAAGCCATATAATGAGTGGACTTGGGAGGAAGCTCGTTGCCGTGGCAACCTGATTTCCCTGCTGCCAAGAGCAGCTTTTCTTCTTTCTTCTGCACCTGGCAGGAGCTACCCCCACCCCACCCCACATTACTTGAGGAAGAAAGACAGAGTTTGGCATTCTTTTATTGAGGTCAGGGCACCGTCTCTGTCAGTGGCCAACTGTCATGGAGAGAGAATGTGGTGGCCTGGATGCCTTCGCCCATCAGCTGGACAGAGGCACCTGGGTGTCTGGGCTGAAATGCTGATGTCAAGGAGACCTTTTGGTTCTCTCTGCAAGAAAAGCTTTTCTGTGCTTTTCTTTAAGGACACCAAAGGTCAAGGGCCTGGTGAGCTTTTGTGAGGCCTCTTAAGCCAGTTGTTTCCTTGTTCTAAGTCACTCTGCTCTACTTCCTGCAGGGCATTCAAGCCTGGACTCGCTGATTGGAATAGAGCTAGGGAAGGAGGAAACAGATGGATGGGCCCAATTACTTTACAATTTTTTACCTGTTCCCTGCCTCAGGCTCCTGCTTGCTCCATACACAATTTACACCCCCTCATCTAACCCCATAATGGCTGGGTAAGGTGGCAATTATTAACCCAGTGGTTATTCTCAGAATAAAAACTGAGGCTCCAGCTCCTCAAGCCTCAGTGATTGCCCAAGATCTTAGTGCAAGAATATGAATCCAGGTCTGCCAGTATCTCAAGGTCATGACCTTGCACCCTGACACCCCCCTCCCCCTGAGATAATACGGACAGGCAAGCCAGACAGTGGAGAGATCACCCTTCTCTTGGACATGATGGCAGCCAATCATGTCCTTTCTAGGCAACAAGTGTATAGAGGATTTGATCCACATGCTTCACCTGGTCCTTTCAAGCAAAGATCCCCTCCTCCTGGGAAATCCCACCTGCCTCCTTTAATCAGGCTGTGGACTGCGGCGGGGACAGCATGTGTGGGGAGGCCATAGACTCTGTCTCCACAGAGCGGCTTCAGAGTCCTCTCCCCCTCCCCCGTTGACCTGTCTAATGTGAGCTCTTCTATGAGATGGCTCTTTCCCCAGCCTCCGGAATAAATGATTTGTCTTTCCTATGATTTGCCTGCATCCCACACAGAGACAGTCATCCCGGAGCCCTCTCAGGGAGCATCTTGCCCCCTGACACATTCACTCTCGAGTGCCAGGTGCCCCTGGAGTGGCCCTCTTCTATGTGTCTGCCCCTCCATCTAGGCCCCAGGAGTGTTGCTCTCTGCTTCCCTGGCGTGACCGCTCTGTCTGGGTGACTGAAGCACACGTACCAAGAGTGCAGATCAATAAACGAGGAAAGCTGCCTGGGGAGGTGCTGCTCCTCCGTCTCCTACAGCTGACTGATGAGCTACGAGCCCCAGCCCCTCCCTTCTGTGGACAGAAACCCTCATTTGCCAATTCATGGTTCTACAGCACATTCCAATTCAAATGATTTCTCTTGGGTGAGGGTCTCTCTGTGGCAAATGCTCAGGGTTGCTTTGTTTTTGTTTTGAGATGGATGTCTAGCAAGGTTGCCCAGACTGGCCTCCAATCCTGGACCCTTCTGTCTCAGCCACCTGAATAGCTGGGATTCCAGGTGTACGCCTTTGTGCCCGGCCCACACGAGGGCCTTTTGGAGCATCCCTGACACCCACTGTTCAGTGATTGCTTATGACTCAGTCCCAGTCATATCCCCATAGATTCTGATCTCTTTTTCCTGCCCTGAGACTCTGAGGCTCTCCAGGACCTTTAGCTGCATAGATTTATCTCTCTGGCCATTTCTGTACTGAGAAACTGCTGTGACTCCATTTTTGAGAAACCAGCCTCTACCTCAGAGCAAAGCCTGTCCAAGGAAGGGGGCGTGACCCTTGTCCTTGGAAAAACCCACAGAGCACTAAGCACATACCCACCCTGCTGAGTTGTTTGTCTACAAATAACAGGAGAGATCTGCTGCACCAGGTGTCCCTGACTCAGTCAGGCTAGGTGAGGACCCATAGCAACCCCCTAGCAACCACCAATCAGCATGAGACAGAGAAAATACTTGGGATGCCAGATGACCCCTCAGTAGTTTATGGTGGTTGATAACATGTTGGGAAACCATGTAGTTTAGCACGTACAACCCTTGTGGCCTAAACCAATCAGTTCAAAGTAATCTCCCTCTTGTACTAACCAATCACCCCTACCTAACTTGTTCCTGCCAGTGAATGTACAAATCAATGTTAAGAGTTGTTGTTTGACTTTTCCACGGTATGGAATGATTTGCTGGGTGATGATGTGATGCATAGAATATCCCCCCAAAACTGAACAAAGGACCAGGACTCACTCCCTGGGACCACTGCGTTGGGAATGGTTGTGAGTCCAGTCTCGAGCTTGCAATAAAGACTCTTGTGTGATTGCATCAGATTTGGCTCCTGGAGGTCTACTGGGGTCCCAGGAATCTGGCATAACAGTACCCCAGTGCTGTTCCTCTGCCCCTCTTCTTGCTGGATGCAACCCTTATCCCAACACAGAGCTCCCACTAGGGCTCCAGATAGGAAAGAGGGCCACAGACCCTACATTTTGAGCTGTCCCCTTACCCGAGCTAGTATGGTACTCCTTTGGCCCAGAGGATGTGTTCAAGATGGTGCCTGGGACTTCCCATGTCCCTTGCCTCTGTCCACTCTCTACCCTCTTCACTCTCAATTTCCTTCCGCTCCAATCACATATAATACAATGAAACTCGGGGACCCAGTCCTCCAGGCCTGGTTCTGGATGAATTAACATGTGCTTACATTATGTAGAAAATGCTTTTCTGTCTAGGCAAAACTTACTACCTTGCTTCACGCCAAGGAATCTTTTTTTTTTTTTGATGTTCACAGCTGAATACTGACTTCCTCCTGCTCTTTGCAGCATCCCTACTCCTCTCTGAGCAAACAGATGCCCCTGGCAGAAGAGGAGGGAGGTGACACCAAGGGAGTGACACCATGGGAAATTCACACAAATGGCGTGCAGCAGATGTCACCCAGTCCACTTGCTGATGACAGAGGCAAGCTTGTGTGAATCTGTGAGTTCTGTCCTCTCAACCCCATGGACATAGAGCTCGTTCTTCATTGTATTTTTTTTCTCTAAAGAACTTTTATTTCCCCACATTTTTTACTGGTGCGTTATAATTGTACATCATGATAGGATTTGCTGTTACATATTTGCACATGCACACAATATCACAATATAATTTGGCCAATATCACTCCCTCCCCTCCCCTCCCTTTCGGGTATCTTTCTTCTACTGATCTCCCTTTGATTTTCATGAGCTTCCCAGCCCCCCACCCTTCTTTTCCTTCTTCTCTAGCTTCTGCATATGAAAGAAAACATAAAACCCTTGACCTTCTGAGTTTGGCTTATTTTGCTTAACATAATGGTCTCAAGTTCCTTCTAATTTCCTGAAAATGACATGATTCCATTTTTACTTATGGCTGAATAAAACTCCATTGTGTATATGCCATATTTTCTTCATCCATTCATCCATTGATGGACCCCTAGGCTGGTTCCATAGTTTGGCTGTTGTGAATTGTGCTATAAATATGGGTGTGTGTGCATCACTACAGCATGACTTTCATTCTTCAGGATATGACCCAGATAAACCAATGAGTGGTTTATCTGGGTCATATGGTGATACCATGCCTAGACTTTTGAAGAACCTCCAACTGATTTCCATCGAGGTTGCACTAATTCACAAATTTACCAATGAGGTAAAAGTGTTCCTTTTTCTCCACATCCTCTCCAGCATTCATCATTATTATTATATTATATTATTTATTTATTTAGGTACCTGGGATTGAACTCAGGGACACCCAAACACTAAGCCACATCCCTAGCCTATTTTTTTTTTTTTAGTTGTTGATGGACCTTTATTTTATTCACTTATTTTTATATGCAGTGCTGAGACTAGAACCCAGTGCTTCACACATGTGGGGCAAGTGCTCTACCACTGAGCCACAACCCCAGCCCACTAGCCCTACTTCATATTTTATTTATAGATAGAGTTTCAATGAGTTGCTTAGTGCCTCAAGCTTTTTGCTGAGGCTGGCTTTGAACTCCATCCTCCTGTCTCAGCCTCCAGCTGGGATTACAGGCATGAGCTACCACGCCAGGCTGTATGCTTGATGAATAGCATTCTGATTGGTGTGAGATGAAATTTCAGTGGAGTTTTGATTTGCATTTCCCTAATTGTTAATGATGTTGAATGTTTTCTAAAGATCTCTCTTTTTTTTTTTTTTTTAAGTTTTGGAGATCAAAACCAGGGCCTTGATCATGCATAGCAAGTGCTCTACTATTGAGCTAGGTCCCAGCCCCTATTAAAAGACCTACTTTTTCTTTTTTTGCAATACTAGGAATCAAACCCAAGGCCTCCCAAGTTAAGCAAATGCTCTACCACTGAGCTATATCCTAGCCCTTTTTATATTTTTCATTTTGAGACAGGATTCTGCTAAGTTGCCCAGGTTGGCTTTGAACTTGTGATCCTCCTGCCTTAACCTCCAGGTGTGCACCACCATACCCAGTTCTCCCTCTCCTTTAACAGAAACCCAAGGGATTTAAGGTGGGCCTAAATCACCTCATCGTGAGAACTTTAACTTAGCTATAGTATATGTCAAGACCTGATTTCCCAATGATGTCATATTCATAGATGGAATTAAGTCTTAGACATATCTTTTGGGGGGGACACTATCTGACCCACTACATGTCCTTTTCGGTTCTCACCTTAGCCTTTCAGTACCGCTTGGTGTTCTTGATTACTTTCTCCTGGAAACCATCTTTTGTGTTGGCTTCCAGAGTGTAGGCTCTCTTGGTTTCTCTTCTACACCTGAGGCCCGTCCTCCATAAGTTCCCCTGCCAATTCCTCTTCTCCCACTCAGCCCTGAGGTGTTGAGATAGCTAAGATTCTGTCCTTAGCTCTCTTCTTTTCTCAGTCCTCCAACAACTGCATCATTGTCCTCAGCCAAGACACAATGGAGTCATCCTGGATACAAGGCCATTTTATTGCAGATTGTAGGGGTAGAATAGCCTTTTACGCATCTGATGGCGACAGAAAAGGGATGTTATAGGATCCAAAAAGTGACCAAAGGAACTCAATGTTTTTAAGAAGATTTCTTGATGTTTGAGTTGGACTAAACTGAAGAAGGAGGATAAACACTTGAGTTTATGTTAGTGAGGTGACTTTGAAAGGCCCCTAAAGATGCCAGGGAAACCAACCCTGTGCCTAAAGAGCTGGGACTCTCAGCCCTGCTTCTCCCCAAGGGTTCAGCTGATCACCAACGGCCAAAGGCACACTGCATGGTGAAGCCTCCATAAAAACCCCAGAGAACTTCTTGGGTTGGCGAATGAGAACTCCCCCAGGTGCTGGGAGGCTGGCATTCTCCCAACTCTGTGGGGACTGAAGCTCCTAAGTGCTTGGGGCCCTTCTGGGCCTCATCCATGCATCTCTTGTTTCCTTTAAAATATCCTCTGTGGGTTGGGGGTTTAGCTCAGTGGTAGAGCAATTGTTTAGCATGTACAAGGCCTTGGGTTTGATTCCCAGTACCATCAATCAAATAAAATATCTTTTGCAAAATATCAATAATAGAAAGGAAAGTTCCCTTGGGTTCCACAAGCCATTCTAGCAAATTTTTGAACACGAAGAAGAGGGTCATGGAAACTTCTGATTGGTAGCTAAGTTAAACAGAAGTTGAGAGTAACTTAGCGATCCATCCCTTGTGTATCACCCTTAAACAAAAGGGGGCTGGTAAAACACTATGTCCCTGAGTACCCCATTTCTGTTCCCAAAACTGAGCCAAGTGAATGAAATAATAACAAGCTGCGCTGGAATGTCCAGATGCAGGTTATCTTTAGGGACAACTGGCTTTCTCTGGTGCTGGTAATTAGGGCAAGTCAACGTTATCTGTAGAAAGTTGATTTTTGCACATAAAAAAAAAGCAACTGGGTTGCAGTCATACAAGCATATTAAGCCAACCAGCAAGCTGATGCTGATGATGGCCCTGCTGTGCAGCTAGGCACATAAAACCCTCCTCTCAGTGGGGACTGATACAGAACTAAGGGCACTGTGGAAAGGATACGGGTCACTCATCCAGTCAGCTGCCACTAGACAAAACACTTTGAGGGATAGGAGGCACACTGCTTGGTGAAGCACAGTGAGGGACAGGGTGCTATCTGTTCAGCCTGTCACCCCAGGACTCCCCCATAAGCACTTCTCAGTAAAGCCCATGCCTCCTACACCTTCTCCATGCATTTTCTTTGGTCTCTTGGTGACCTATCCCACTGCCCTGGCACAACGGGCAGGAGTGGATCTGATACCTTGCAATTGATGTCTGAAGTGGGGTGTGGTCTTGTGGGACTAAGTCGTTCACTTGTGCGGTCTGCATAGCTCCAGGCAGCTAGTATCAGGAACGGGTTAAATTACAGGACATCTAGTGTCCATGGAGAACTGGACGATCAGTGGGTGTGGGGAAAACCCCTCACATTTGGTGTCAGAAGGGGAGTGTTGGGTCAATGAGCAGATAATTTTTTTTTTCTTTTTAGGGATGAAGGAGCAGTGGGTGAACACCCTAAATAGAGGTGGGGGATTTTGGTGAGTGAGTGTGGGCAGTAAGTGGTAGAAGAATTATGAAGATGTGGTTTCCACCTAACCAAGACCAGGATGGCAGGATGGCATGTGGACAGATGGAAGTATTGCTCAAGGTCAGAGAGGAAGAGAGGGATTTGAGAGGAAGCAGAGGGGAGGCGGAGTGGTCAAGTGAATGGTTAAAGAGATGGAGACCCATGCAAGATAAAACGGTGACTGGTAACTTTTAGGAGAACTTTACCTCAAAGGTGCCATAGCATTTAAAGTTCCCTTCCCCAATCAGGCGCCGTTGCCCTGGCCTGTAGCCTCATCTACTCCAGAGGCTGAGGCAGGAGTATCGCACCCACCCATGCCAGCCTGGGCAACTTAGTGAGATGTGTCTCGAAATTAAAATTTAAAAAAAATTTAAAAGACTGGGGGTGCAGCTCAGTGGATGAGTGCCCCTGGATTCAGTCCCCAGTATGGGGGAGGGAGTCTTCCTTTCCCCAATTCAGAAGAAATTTATTATCTTCTGATTTCTTGCTTTTTACTCCATTTCCTGAGGAAGGAAGGAGTAAAATCTCGATGCCCTCTGGCAAAGCTTATGTTGGCAGGCAGCCTAGGCAGAAGCAGCAGGTGAGAAGCAGGCGGCTGGCCGGCCCTTCCCAGCTAGAGGGACTTAGTAGCAGGAAGGGAAATCTTACCCGGATGACGCCAGGCCATGTGGCAGTGCCAGGGGAGTTTGTGCTGGAAACCCATTTGTCTGATGTACCAGAGCTTTGTCCTGCGTTGGTAATGTTGCTGGCATTTGGTTTTTCAGCGCTTCTTCCCTAATGAGTTCCAGGAGAAACCAGAAAGGAGATGCACAACTTCTATGAACCAAATTCTCTTTTCCTCTTTGCAATGAACTGGTTTGACCCCAGGCTGCTGCTACAACCACATAATTGCAACCAGATTACTTTTTTATTACACCTTGCAAAACACACCCCAGGAGGACCCAAGAACACAGAAAATATCAAGCTCAGACATCCCAGTGGTTCATCCACGCCAGAGTGTGTATCAGCATCCCCTTGAGCTCAAGAGGGACACTAACTCTCCCTGCTAAGGCACCCTTGCCTCCTGACCCTTCCGGTTGGCGTGGGTGAACTATTCTGTAGCCAATCAGGCCTTCTGGGACCTGGCTATCCCTCCCTGGCAGCCCTTTGCTCATTCCTCTCCTTTGCAGAATCCCAGTTGTAATTTTACGTCTATTTGTGAGGTTGGGAGCTCCCCAAGGTCAGGGATCCTGCCCACCCCTGCTCTGTGGGCAGGCCCTGTACCTGGCGCTGAGCAGGGATCCCTTGGCAACCCTGTCTCCTGGGTCATCTACTCTGTGGTCAGACCTCCGGATTCCACGCTGGGCATCGTTCCATGACCAGGGGTTCTGCCCCTGGCATCTGGGGAGAAGGTTGCAAACCCTCCAAACGTATTTGCTGTGTTTGATGTTCTTATGCAAATGTGCATCTGTGATGGGGGACGAGTCCAGAATTGTCATGGGATTCTCATGACAAAAAAAGATTATTTTCTTGTACAAATCCTCACAGCAATTGCTGGCTGCTCCCTCGTCCTTCCTGCCTGCTCCTCCCCCCCCCCTTTCTGATTTCCCCCTACCCGCTCCCTGAGCTTTGTTCTCCAATAAGATATCTACCCATCATCCTTCGCCCTACTTAGGTAATGTAAGTTCTCTGCATCTTTAATGAATCCCCCACCACCACCACCACACACACACGCACACAC